TCAAAAAAGAAATCAACAAGAAGTTACCTTTTCCCCAGGACCATGTTACGGTCCCCATCTCCATCAGCAGCTGCTCCAAATTCTGGTGGATTCGGTTCAGAATGCGTTTTAGACAATCCCATACGTGCAACTAACTCCTTTGCATAGGTCAGATTGGGATCGGGATGCCCTCCACCAAAGTCCTCCTATTAAATTAATCATACATTTCATAGAAAGAACAAAAGAGTCCTAAAATATAGCGTTAGAAGAACAGAAAGCCAAACAGTTTAATGCAAGAAATTTCTCAATGGAAGGAAAATGAGAGGACCTTGGGTACACAATTAACTAGAGAGGTTTCATTTGCCCCAAGCTCCTCCACAAATATACGCTTTGCATGTACGCCAGCAACTCCGTGAAGTGCATCATAGCTACAATGGGCATAGATGTGAGAAACTAGCTGACACTCTTCGTAAAAAATTTGAATGGAGAATGTACATTAAAAGGTCTCAAACGTGCATACCAGAAACTAAATTTTGGAGAAGAGAGCAACTTCTGGATAGCTGGGAAGTCAAATATTGACCTGGAAACAGATAAGCAATGTTAAATATTGAGTCAAAAAAAGAAAATTTACTTCAACAAGAATAACTAAATTAAAGTACCGATAAAAAGAACAATATGAAGGTAATAAAGATGAAAATAAGCTTTAAAACAATGTCCAAAGACATATGCATGAAGCAATATCCCTTATAAATTTCAGTCAAAAACAAGCCCAAGACATATTACACAGCCTTAAAAATTGGAAGGGACTGACACACAACGCTCAATAATAGTTGTATAGTGCCTTTGCAACAAATTGTTGATTGACCTTTAGATATCAAAGGACACATTTACATGCATAAGCATTACTCGACATATATCAAAGGGCACATTTACATGTATAAGCAATACTCGACTGAAAGCAGAAAGACATTTGTTTTGCACATAAGAGAAAGATTCATACTTCAACAATTTCAGATAATCACTAGTTGAATCAAAAACGTCAACGTCAAATTTCCCCTTTGGACCCTCGAAGCTCGAGACACCTGTTGTAGATATAATCACCTACATTCAAGTTGCCATATTAAATTGTTACTTCATCAATAAAATTAAGACTCAGGAAAATATACTAGGGAAGCAGTGCATCTTACATCCGGCAGGCCCTCGGCAATCAAGTACTCCTTTATTATTGTGGTATTCTCATAGATCTTGTTTGTTATACCTTCCGGAGCAGGTCCACCATTTTCCATGTTGTACTTAATTCCAAAATCCTACAGGTGAATACATATGAGAAACTGTAGTCTTCAGGAAAAGCTGACAAAATTTATCACCTGGGTGTTCTGAACACTCTTAACAGGTATTCAGAACAAGATAGTCCAAACAATTTTATAAGAAATCTAAAAATAACTGATAGGATATCCCACATTTATTTTGTTTTCATAAACCATTTTCCCACCGAAGGTGTTGTCCTCCAAATAAAACACCTTTCGAGGTTACTAGTCATTGCGAAGGCATTCCGGACACTCTAATAGGTATACTAAGAACCAGTTTGGTCATAAAAATTGTTCAGTTTTCTCTCGAGTAATTTTCACTTTATTTGAAAATCAGTGTTTGGCCATGAAAATTTGAATCCAACTTAAAGTTGTATTTCAAATCTGGAAAACAGCTTAAAACTGATTTTTTATGACCAAAATATTAGTGAACTTGTAACCTGTTCTCCAACTCATTTTTCACTTTTGAAGTTGTATTTTGAGTATATCCAAGAACATTATTCCATGTGTTCTTTGCAAAAAGTATAACCAAACACAACTCCAATTCCATAAATTCCCAAACAAAAAGGGATAAATATTTGGTTATGGCCAAATGCCTACTAAATAATCTGAAAGGAGACCTACAATCATTTCATCAACCATAATGTATTCTTCGCTGCAACATTTTCCCTCCAAATAATAGAACATGTTTAAAGGGCATGTACATAGATGTCTGTTGTGTGTATATATTTATAGGTTCTTGATCAGCTGCACCAAAGGAACATTTCATCATGTCCCCTCCCCGCCCTCATGAAAAATAAAAAGTACATACTAACTCCCTAGAGAATAGAAAATAGAACGTCTAAGTTGTGTTTTTCATCTTTAAAAGGAAGATATATATTTAGCTCAAACAAGCAATGAGCAAAACCAGTTTTTTATCAAAAGAATATGGAAGCATACCAATTTTAAAATTGTACAAGCTTAGGGAATGACTCTTAGTACGTAGCATGATTTTCAGGTCTCAGAGAATACAATTAAACTATAACTGAGCAAGGGAAAAGCCGTAAAGAGAAAAAAAAATCCTACTTTTCAACTGTGAATCAAACATGAGTTGATAAAAAGACCATAACAGTTAAATCCTAGAACAGAAATTAAAACTTCCCAATTCAATAATAGGTTATCACAACATGTTGGAGAGATGCAGAAACAAAACATTAAAAATAGAAAATATTGCTGGCAATACCTCATGAGGGCCACCTGGGTTGTGACTTGCTGTCAATATAAATGCCCCAGTAGCTTTAGAACCCTGTATTAAGTATGACGTATGTGAGAAATACAGGGAAAAAAATATCATTGAATTGTGTATCTACATTATTTACAATAAGCTCTATTTATGGAAACTACACGACTATCCTTCTCCAAGTAAGATGCTATATAAAAATCATACCCCTATGTCTGTTCTAACACTCTCCCTCAAAGCTAGTACATACAAAACCATATGTACAGAGCTTTCTACATATGTAATTAATACGAGGCTTAAAAGGACTGGGTGAAAATATTTGCTAGTTGATAACTCAATTTTCACAAAATTTTGTAACAATATATCTGGAGGTTTTTTTTTTTTGACAAAGTGACGCTCAATCTCAATGTGCTTAGTCCTCTCATGAAATACCGACTTGATGCGATCTGAAATGCCACTTGGTTATCACAGCAAGTTCTATTTAACAGATTTTTTCAAACTTTAGCTCTCTCAGCAATTATTTATCCAAACTAGCTCATGCTCAATATTCTGCTTTTGCACTAATATCGACCAATCACACTCTATTTCTTACTCTTCCAGTATACCAAATTACCTCCTACTAAAACAAAATATTCTAAAGTAGAATATCCATCACAAGGTGATCCTACCAAATCAATGTATTTGTATCTAACGACCAACTCATGACCTTGATTTTTAAAGATAATCTTTTACCTGAAAATAACATTATGCATTGCAGAATGTGAACAATTGCATCACAATGACCATCAGAGGAAGAATCCATAAACTAACTTACAACACTCCTAGGAAAAGAAACGTCAGGTCTTAGACATTAGAATATTAAGATGTGGTTTATAGATTTGAACACTAAATAATTAAGACAATTTGTTTTCAAGCATCTGAATATACATATGAAAATGTATATCAAAATTATTAATGAACATAATAAAGAGAAATAGACTCCTTGAATATGAAATTAGCTATCACGTTATCAAAGGCGAAAAGTGCAGAAAAAACTATAAGGTCTATTTGGGGTTTAAGCGCAAATGAAGTGTGGGTTTTAATGAAAAAGGGTGCAAATGGAGAAAAAAATAAAAACATACATGTTTAGTCCAAGACTAATAATAATAAACATGAATGACAAATATATGATCAAAGAAATTGAACAAATAATATGATAAAAGTAAAATATCAATTGTTTAGTGTCACTTCTTCAAAAAGATTCATTGGCAAGGAAAAGTTTGCCTTAGAACCTTGATAACGACACTAAAGCGCACATAAAGTAAGGCGAAGTGCACAACGTGTTTTGAGCCTCGCTTCAGGGCTTAAGCGCGCTTAAAGCATGCCTTTGACTATACTGGTCTCCTCCTCGCCAACATAATAATTTCAACAAGTGAACTGAACCTCCATTAAAGGAAATTGAAACTCAAAATCTCCAGTTTCAAAGAAGAAAAGGCAGAAAATAGATTCAAGTTTTCACACATTTTTCTCTCAATCCCATACTCCACTCTACCATAAGATTATAGCGGTTGCAGTCACCATTTTTTGTCGTTGGTCCACCATCTTCAAGAGGATTTACCAAAACACTTTTCTAGACCATCTGTACTTCCAAAGGTTTCTCCATTTATACATCCATCCAGCATCCGCAAGACTCTTGAGACCTTGAAATATGCATCACCATCTTCTTATTTGACATCACCACATTCTCATTTGACATATTCGATGACTTTACATGAACATATTATTATTATTATTATTATTATTATATTTGTAAACATTTATCCCATAGACTATAGGTGTCGACGATAGCTAAAAGAAAGAGGTGAGATGGAGATAAAGATAGAAGTTGAGGACCATGTCAATGATGTTCAAGATATAGGATTATAGATTAGAAGAAGAGAGGTTTAATTAATTATAAGAATATTAAATATAAAAAAGCGAGAATGAAAGGTCTGTATGATTTTTCAAACTCTATTCTAGATCTGATTGGATCAGATGCATTGAGACTCATTAAGTGAAAAAGTTCTAAAAATAACAAATGCACTTAATGGAATGAGATTGAGAACCCAATTATTCAGATCCAAACCGCACTTAATGGAATGAGATTGAGAACCCAATTATTCAGATCCAAACCTTTATTAAGTGCAAAACAATGAGGCCTAATTAAGTAATTTGAGTCAAAATGAAAGATGAAGGTATCTAATTATTTAATAGCAAGACAAAAGGATTGCCTCCCCCATCCCCCATCCCCCCCCCCCACCCCAAAAAAAAAACACAACTAAACATGAAACTGAATGAGGAGTGCGAGCAGTCTCGATGAGGTGCCAAATCTCTCTCTACTACTCCATCCGTTGAGGGGTGTACAAATTAGAAGACTGATTAATAATTCCTTGAAATTAGGTCATAAACGGTGGAAACTGGCAGGACGTATATTCAACGACATTATCACTATGAAAGGTACGAATAGAGAAACCAAATTGATTTGTATTTCAGCACAATAACTCTTGAATTATCATCAATGAAGCTACAATATAACGAAATCTTAAGGTTGAGATGATTCTACTATGAATTATGACCCCAAAGATCAAAGTGAACTAAGGAAAAAATAGTCTCTACACAACTCTCAACACTACATGGAAAGGTAGTGCGAGTGTGTTTCCTAAGTTTGCACGATTTACAATCTGATATGGACAAGCAAGACAAACTAGGCACCATCTTTTGTACATTCAACAAACTTGAATATCACAAACATTTGTGATCTAAGTGTGGAGCATCTATAATTGGACATGCTCGGGTGGGATTAGGAGAGGTAAGGCTATAGAGGCCTTGTTATTCATATTCTACCCCAATTGTCTGTCTCCTACGGCAGTCCTATATGATAAAAGAGTCCTCAAAAGAAAGAATATGGCACAAGATTAAAAGGACAACCACGGACATAATGAACAGAATTTAAAGTGACAGAGCATAGGGGATTAGCTAGCCCAATTCCTTTTTCTTTGGTTTGGATCCCATTCGTTAAACTCTGAATAAACAATATTTGACCGAAGTGATTTATCATCGGAGATATGATCAAAAGCAGTAGAGTCCACAATCAGGTCCCAAGACCGTGAGACAGTGCGATTGAGGCCACTTGTGGAGATGTCTGCTTACTTTCTCAATAGTGTAAATACTCATTATATTCCTCTTCAGATAATTAAACTCGTTGATGACATGTAGTGTCCGCTTGAGCAACATGAGCATTCTCGGATGGTCAACGATCCAATGAATAGCATACTTCACGAGTGTGTCCCAGCTTATGAAAATAACTACACTTTGGTCTAGATCTTCCAAAATGACCTCTTCATCAATTCTTCATGGATTCTGATGATCTACGTTTTGATTTCCTCATTAAGGATTTTGGATGAATCATAGCACTTAAGCTTCCAATTCTCCTGTTTAGGAGCCAAAAATATCACCAAAAAGACATCTTGTGAAATTTTACTTGAAAACAGCAAGCAATGAAGATCTGGTTGTACTGTACAAGAATTAAGATCTCACCAAAAATAAGAAGTGACTGGATCTTGAAGAGAATGGTAAGGATCAGCTCAGAGTCTCCTCATGATGCTGACAGTAGAATATTTCTTTGAAAAAATGGCCTAAAGTAGCCTGGAATTGTCGGGACAGTGTTAAAGTCGACAAAAACCTAGATCTTGCTGGACTGTGATCAAAATTACAGAATATTGGGTAGGATTGGATTGATGGAGCAACCCCACTGGAAAAAAGATCACCAAATAAGCACGCGCTAGCACGTGGATCTGACGTGCTCGCATGAAAGGTACTTTTGGCGGTGCATGAGTGCCTATGTGTTGCCTATTTTCAACAGATCTGAAAAGGTATTCTGGACCCATTGGTGGTGTTGGAATTCACACAACACTACCAAATATTAATTTAATGCAGACAGCTGTTTTGCCACCTGAAAAAATGTGCAGTGACTGATTCTCTTCCATGGAAATTTGCACAACAATTAATTTCCCACAAATACTCTGATACTATGTAGGAAATATAGGAGAAAATATTAAGTAGGATACTACTTACAAACCAGATTCCCTTTCCTATTCTAACAAACTATTATGTTGACAGATACTTGAAACAAGTAAACTCGCATTATCGAAAAGGAAAGGGAAATATGAATAAAGCAAGCTGATGTAGCTCTAGAGGCAAAGTACTTACATCAGCCCCGACTCTCTCACGAACAACAGCTGATACAGCAGGAGTGGACAAAAGTCCATTTTGACCAATCCAAACACGTCTTACTCCATTTGCTGCTGCCATTTTTGTAATGATCTGCAATGAAACAGACCAAAGAGGTTATACGCTGAATTATATCCTTCGATTAAGGCATAAACATTAAGCAAGTTAGGCATCGGGCCTCAGTAAAAACATGAAAAAGAAACTTTGCATTTCAGAATGTCCCTTATGCATTTGAGAGAACATTGAAAACATTTTTATATTATTGATTGTGTTCAGGAAAACAAATATCCAAAATAAAGAATTGCATAGGAAAAACTTTATTAATAGTACCTGGATAGCATCCTTTGAATAGTATCGGCCATCACCAGAAACCACAAGTGTAGCACCTGTAACAATAAAAGTGTGATTAGAAGAAGGGACAAGACAACAAAATCATCGACTGACCCCTAAAAAGGGGGATATATCTATGCGGCTGATCTATGTAGAAGGGTGGGATTTCCGTGGCACCAGACGCCTGGGTTGGAACTTTCTGTATATATCTATTATAGAAATATAATAAATACTAATTGTGCCACCCGGAGTAATAGCTGAACATATGATGCAAGTGATGAAGAGTCAATTTTCACTGTCGAAGGACGCGATTTCGAATCCCACTTGGTGCACTTTTCTTTAAGCTTTCTGTAGAACTTTTTAACACAATCTTTATTGAACTTTTGTCTATTCTTAACTTTTGCTCACTTTCTTTTCTTCTTTTCTTTTTTTTTTTAAAAAAAAAGAACAAGAGATCCATCTGTCACCCGCCCTTTGGACCAATCAAAGCTTTCTTCCCTTGTATTATCAGCACAAAATATAAGTAGTTCCCTTTTTCGAAGTTGCATGTTTTGCAGTAAGTTGTTATAATTATTTCATTCTTTCTTTTGACCAATTTTCAATATAAATCAAGACAAATAACCCAAAATGATGCACAAAATTGATCAAACCAGCTAAATTTTTACTTTTATTTGAACTGTATAAATAGCGACACTGTTACGTTCAAAGCAATGTGGCACCAAAACCTCCAAATCCCAGATTCCCCTCTGCTTCCAATACATGCAAGAAATGTAGAGGAATACAGCTAGACAAGGAAAACATAAACTTCCTCACCTTCAACTCTGTCAGCTCCAAGTGCATTGAATGTTGCCTGGACAAAATTTTGCAAGTAATGAGGTTGTATGAACACCTTCACCTGAAACAGCCCAGCCAACTTCATTTTAGACTCAACAATCAAAAGCCATTAAGATAACAGCGCAAAAACAAGCCAAGACACACTATATGGACAATATATCATGCAGAACTACTGATTTCCTTTATTCATGAGTCAGTTAACTACAATTTAAACTACCAGTTTTGAAAATATTCAATCAAAATGCAGAAAGAGCTGCAAAGAGGGTGAATATAACAGATATTATTCTATTGTTCCAGCTGTCTCGGGATGAACCACATGAACATTTGAGGCTTTCATCCTTAGAGGAATGTGAAGGAAAACAACTCAATAACAAGTCAATTGGCTAAAAACGGTAGAGTTTAAGAACATCATTGTAACTTTTGGGGGTCTGTAATTGTGCATCTGTATGTGCTTTCTCTTTTTGACCACCCACTCCCTCTTAGTATAACTCAAACTATTCTGATATAGTTTACCATAAAGCTAACACCTCTTGTGAGGAACTATGTTTCGTTGACATAGTTAAAACACTTTTTGATGGGTCGTGAATATCCCTCCAACACAATTTGATCAGTGTTTTTAGCTTTTTAGAAAAAATGAAAATTTGACTTATTAACAGAGATATTAAAGTAGATTTTTTTTTTTCAAAAATAAGATTTTATGTTAGAAATTACCACATAAAGTACTACATAAATTGCATTTTTTTCATCACAACAACTGATTCTGATATCTAATCTTTGTCAGCAAGTTTAGGTTCTAGGCCTTCCCAAGAATATATAATGCTCAAGAAAAGAGAAAACTAATTGAGCATAGTTCATAGTGTTACTGGCAAGCAAGGATCTTACTTGATCTAATTTAAATAGCTTATTTTATGTCCAAAGAAGCATGCATGAGGGAAAGACAATATGATCAAGTAAATTTTAAAAGACACTTGTCACGCCATTTGATACTTTCATTTCCATTAATACAATATCTCATTAGATTACAATTTATTCCTTAGATCTATACCTGCTGATTACAATTTGTATACCTTGATAACTACTTTAACCAAAAAATAATAAGTGCAAGCAAATCCAATAAAAATTGGATTGTACTCGAGCAGCAAAAAAAGCATCTGGAAATTTCACTGAATCGGTGGAACGGGAAGGAGATAAAACCGTGCTTCCACAGAGATCATATCAAAGTTGATGAAAACATTTAAATTTTTATTTCGAACAAAGTGTTAGTTTGAAATTGCTTTCAGATTTACCTTCTTGCGGAGACCGGAAGTACCAGGCTTCTGTCCTTCAAATGGCGTAGTTTCGACGCGAGAAACCTTGAAATTTGCCATTTTCTTCACTAGAAAAAACAGATCAACAACACACAAAATTAGCAGAAAACACAAAATGGAGAGATTCACACACATACAAGCACAAACAATTACATCTACATTGGATAAACGTACACCGTCAGAGAGAGAGTTTCTTACATCTGAAGATTTGGAAAGATGAGTTAGTGATGGATGTGTGTGGAGCTTCGAAGAGAGCGATTCACTATTATAGGCGACTATATTATTTATTTATAGTTACTTGTATTTACTTAATTTTCACCCAAATTTTAAAAAATACTTTTAAAAACAAATTTTATTTCCAGAATATTTCTGAAGTATCAACATTTTGCTATAAAAATATTAAATGAGTGTTTCATTATTATTTTTTTATTTTTTAATCATAGACAATCTCATATAACAAAAACAAAAAGGAATATAGTACAAAGACTTCCAACAATTCTCTTGGGCTTTTCGATTCTTTTTTAGAACAACTTTCACATATATCAAATAAAAAATTTATATTTGTATGCTATAGCAAATTTTGCATAATTACGCTCTATAGCAAACATAAAATTGTATAATTCGCTATACAAATACAATTGTATAATTCGCTGGCCTATTTCGCTGCAATTGTATAATTCGCTATTCTATTTCACTGCAATTGTATAATGCACAATTGTATAATTCGTAGCCTATTTCACTGCAATATTTTTATAAAATTTGTTTTGCATACAATTGAATCAAATTAAAATGTATGTATATTGCATAATTATAAGTGTATGGCAAGAAGATATATGTTTTTCACTCGCCTTATACAAAAACAGAAACACAATATATACACTTCTGTTGTATAAAGCTAGAGAAAATTGTACTTCACTGCAATTGTATAATTCGCAATTGTATAATTTGTTGGCCTTTTTCTCTGCAATATTGTATAAAATTTGCATTTGTCTACAATTGAATTGAAGTAAAATGTTTGTAAATTGTATAACTAAGTGTATAACACGAAGATATATGTTTTTGCATGTATATATATATAATTTTCTCTCGCTTTATACAAAACAGAAACAGAATTTATACACTTCTGTGTATAAAACGAGAGAGGCGAGCAGAGGGAGAGTGACGAGCGAGAATAGGATAGTGGCGAGCGAGATTTTTGGGAGAGAGACGCCTGACAAACTTTGGCTAACGTTTGCTATGGAGCACAATGAAATCAAACCCTAGTTACTCCATTTATTTTAGGTTATTAGTTTGCTATTATATACAATTTTTCCTTCATTTTATATATACATTAATAAATAGTTTTCAATTCAATAATTTTTTTAAACTTAAATTAATTTATCTATTATAAATTATAAAAAAACCTCTCAATAATTTACTCAATATTGATTAAAGGTAATAATATGATTAAATAATGTAAGTTAACAGTATGAAATGTAAACTGAACTTTTTAGATTGTTATATTTTTTTAATATATAGCTACTCAAAATTGTTGGCATTATAGCAAGTGTGAACTAGAAGGGGGCTTTTAGCTGTTTAATTTTTTACAGCTTAAAAATTAATTTTTTTAATTTTATTTAGACACTATAAAAGTAATTAAAAATTATTTTAACTTAAAAACACAAAATAAAAGATTCAGCAGATTGTGAATATCTTTTATATATATATATATATATATATATATGTGTGTGTGTGTATATATATATATGTTCAGTTATGCGTGTACATATAGGTATTATTCACTTACCTCTTTTTTTGTTATTTTTATTTATATAGATAAATAGATTTGACTGTCATTAAAAGGATATTCTTTTTAAATTGTAATTTAAAATTTAATTACAATTTAAATATATAATCTTTTAGATTTGCTACTATAAATTATAACTCTACTTCTAAATTATTTTTGAACTACCGGAATTGAAATACATGAAATATCGTGAAAGACTTGTATGAAAATAAATTAAAATATGTCAAATTGTTAGCACATACAGTCATCAAATCAGAGATCAGAGTAGTATGTTTTTTATTTTAAAAAAAAGTTATCACTCTTGGTTATTTTCAATCGCTTAAATAAGTATCATATGTTTTGTTATTATTAATTATAATATTTTTCATATTCTGTTAATTTATTTCATTACAACACAATATTAGTTTAAATACATGTTAAGTATTTCTTACTTTTCTGATTCTTATCAAAATAAAATTTATATTTTCTTAAAAAAATTTGTTTCCTAAGTTAAAAAAAATGAAAAATAACAAATTTTAAATAAATAATAAAAATATAAAATTTGAAAATATGCAAGGGGTAAAACAAATATTTAAAAAATTCAATTAGGAAAAACGGAGGAGAATGTCTTTCAAAGTTGAGGATAATGTAAAGTTTGGATGTGTTAATAATTTTTACCCATAAAAAAAGAGGAAGGATAGGACATTTTGTAGGCTAATTTTTTTTTCTTTTTTTTT